GAAGCCAAAAGAAAGCCCAACCCTTAAACATTTTAAGCTACCTTTCTGTGATATTTATTATTCAATTTCTCAACACTATGCCTCTCCCCACTTCTGAAAAACAAAATGAAAATTGCTACCTACTGCTCTGCTTTATCATTATTAAATTAAGATGCTAAAGCCCAACAGGGAAAACATCCGTGTACCCCTTATAATCCACTATCACATCATCTTAGTGCAGGTATAACACAAAGCATGGCAAGTGTAGCCATATGAGGTCTATTTACTCAAGCTGGTACCATCTGTGTTACTCGTGAGCAGTGGAGTGAAACAGAATCAGACTGATACACAGTCATTTAGGGCCCTGTGTACCCTCAGCTTTCCAGGAAAGCTTCACTAAGCTCATTTTAGATTAAACCAGGAGACACCAACAAGTACCAGCCACCTGTTTTGGAAGGTGCTTTTTGATTCCATACAACACACACACAAAGAAAGCAGGAAGAAAGAAAAAAGGAAAAACTTCTCACTTGTTTTTGAGCACCTTGTCCAGGGTTTCAAATCGTTCTTATCACAATACAGAAGGGTTTACATAATTCGTCGTTGCTCCTGGATGACTCTTAGAAGGATGACAAATGACCACCACCCCCATCCTTTGAATTCTCTGTGACTTGCAGAAGGTCACAGCTACCAGACAGAGAGGAAAAGTACAGATTAAAAGATTACAGCTGACAACGCTTTCCTAAGGGGACTTCAGACTGAAGTGCAGTGACCACAGCAGCAGCTGGCCATTGAATCTCTCTGATTACTTTTACATTAACTCTTCATACCAAAAATCAGCAAGCAAGAAGGAAAGGAAACTCCCTTATCTCCAGACATTCTCTCCTCTGCTCCAGCACAGACAAACCCTCCTCAGCACAGAGCTGTGTGGTTAAAGAGAACAGACCCTTTAGCAGCGTGGCCCTGGTCTTGGCCACACTTGCACAAGCACTCATTAGAAAAAGCCCTAACCCCACGGCTGGCTCCACAGGAAGGTACTTGGGGATGTGGAAACTGAGGCAGATACCTCCAGATACCACCGCGTAGTGTTTGTATGGTGTGAGCAGGACTTACAGGTTCCCTGGACCAAAGAGAGCATGTGTTGATCTCCTATCCCACGACTGGGGCTTTCCATTGGAAAAGATGAGGACTCTGGCTGCCACACAAGAACAGTTTATGTGTTACAGCTTAAAATGCTTATGTGTTTAGAGTGCCTGTCACAACAAGCCAAACGGCTTCCGCTTTTAAAGAAACAAAAGGTCACAATTGCTTGAAACCATCAAGACTCAGGAAACCAGTTCTGTGATGCAGGTATCAGCTGGAGCAGGAAAAGAAACTGCAGAGAGAGAAGCACCCAGCGCTCCAGAGAGCAGCAGCTGGAGGGCAGGCCTGGCTCAACCTCACAGCACGTGGCTGTGACACGTCTGTGCAGCACAGAGCTCCCATCCTCTCCTGGAGGAGCAGGCAGGTTGTTCACAGTGTGGTCTGAATAAAGCTGTATTTATCAACTATGGCAAAAGCCAAAGTGCTCATAGCTCCACGAGAATTATTATTCTTATCTCAACGTAAATAATGCCAGAATACTTTAGACAAGAAAATTATTTTCTCAAATATTGTAATAGGGCATAAACTAAAGACCTAAGGCAGTTCATACAGCCTGCCCAGCTCACTGATCAATCATTTCATTCACCACAATCCCATTTAAAATGTAATTAAACCCCAGAAAAATCAGATGTCCTTTTGTGTGATACCTCTCTTTCAGCATCACACAACACACAGACAAGCTGCATTAGTTCAGTCAGATAAAGACCACTACAACCACACATCTGCCTGCACCGTACCTTTCCAGGTGTTTCATTTTCAAGAGCTTAGAGTCAATCCCACTTCAAAATAAGACTGGACTTGTTGCAAACATTGGAGAACTCACTTTTCCCTGCTGCAGCTTTACAAGGTCTGTCAGGACCTGAGGACAGACTTAGGCTTAGTGCTATGACCCAAACTGCATCCTTATGTTGCTTTCTGCCATTTGAATTGTGTAACTGGGTCTAAACTTAATTTAGACCCAGTATTTTCCATCCTTTGTCAACTGAATGAGAGGCTTTAAGCTAAATATCTTAGACTTTAGAAAGACCTTAGAAAGACCTTCCCATGTTTGGAAGCAATCTAATGAAATTCAGATTCCATACCAATACATTACAGCACATTTTTGGCAGATAGAGAGCAAGAACATTTTTTAAAGTACCAGAATTACTTACAAGCTTTCCCCCACCCCCAATTATTTACCATATCATCACAATTTAAATGTACACCATTAGAGGATACCTCAATCACTCATTTTTAACAAAACATCCAACGTAGTTTATGCAGCTTATTGCTGGGTGGGAAGTGAGGAAGCATTTTTGGAACTATTGACATGACACAGTATTATCTAATTTTCCTGACTAGATGCTTCCCACCCTGTGACTGAGCACAGTTCTGTGTATGACAGGAAAATGTTACACCTCTGAGACTGATAGTCACACACTGTGACAAACTGCTATATAAAACCAACGCTCAGCAATAGCCTCATCACCAGCACTAACAGCAAACTAATCCAGAACTCACACTGAGAAAAAACCCAGAGTCAGGCAGCTCTCCCACTTCTCCATCTCATCTCAGAGCCAGAGCTCACTCTCCATCCCATCCAGCCTCCCCCAGGCCCTTCCTCCAACCCCCCTTTTCCCACCAAAGCTGCTCATTCTCACAAGAGCCACAAACCCTTACCCTTCTGAAGCCTCCATAGCTCTTTGCGCCTCCAGCTCCTCACAACTCTGCTTATGGACACAGCCTCTGCCTCCTAGCCTAGCTGGCTCCTGGGACACAGCTGCAGCCATCCCATGAGCACTGGTTCGGCCACCCCCAGCTGGCTCTACTCACCTCATCAGCCCCACAGCCACCCCCAGCTGGCTCTACTCACCTCCTCAGCCCCGTCAGGCTCAGCTCCTCGCTGCAGGGTATGCTGCTGCCTTGCACAGATTCTGAGCTTTATGCAAAGAGGAGTGTTGAAATGAAAAACACAGAGAACATCAGCCAAGTCACAACGATCACATGGAAAGCTGAGAGACAGAAAACAAAAAACCCTCTGCGTTCTCAAGCATTTAGCAGCGCTCTCCACAGAATGCTGTCAGAGATGTACTTGCTGCCACGTGCCCATGTTTAAGCAGCATTCCCAGCCCACATACAGACGTGACAGGAGCAGTGTGTTTATGCAAACAGCTGTTGATGCGAATCAGGCAGGACCCCCTGTGAGAGCCCCTTCCATCTGAGGGAACAGGTGTGAGGGCATGGCCTGGCCAGGCCAATCCCCTCAGGGCCGTGCAACCCACAGTCTCCCATTTGTAACCTGAAAATGCTGTGAAACACGGGGAATTCTGAAAAAGACCTCTGGCTCTGAGTTTATTTGGTTTTCCATAACCCAGGGAATGCAGTGGTGCAGCGAGGGGAAGCCAGCAGGTGAACTGGGCAGCCCCTCACTGAACATGTTATCATTTTGTTTGGGAAAGATTCCCTTCCGACACCAGAACAGCTTTTCCCATTGCTGCTCCCTCGCAACACCTTACTGCAGTGCTTTGCATGCATTGAAGAACATTTTTTCTTTTCTGCTCCTATTTTTTAAATACATATACCAAAAGCTAAGTGAATAACATAATGAAAATTTGTTCACAATTCCTCCAGGACAATGAATGACATAAACAAGTTAAGCTCAAATTACAACAAGTACAATTGTCACAATTACAAAAAACAACACAAAAAAAGTGAAGTATAAATATAACAAGTATAGAGCTTGTTTCATTCCAAAATCACACGATGTCAGGGAGAGCATGTAAAACATTTAACTAGACCACATGTAATTTATGAAAACCAAGGTTTAAACGTTGGAACTGCTCCACTGATGTAGAAGCTTGTTCTTCTCAGTCTGCTAAAATACAACATACTACATGGAAGCCTAACAGATGCTTCAACCAGTCCCTGTGATATTGGTTCATAGTGCAAAAGAATTTTATGTCTGGCAATCCGTGTCCAGTTACCTCAACAGAAAAAGGGATCACAGAATCACAGAATCACCTGGGTTGGAAGGGACCTCAAGGATCATGTAGATCCAACCCCCCTGCCTAGCAGGGCCACCAAACACACACATTCAGATCAGGTTGCCCAGGAGCCCGTCCAACCTGGCCTTGAACACGGCCAAGGACGGGGCATCCACCACCTCCCTGGGCAGCCCGTTCCAGGGCCTAACTACTCTCCTTGTGAAGAACTTCCCCCTAACATCCAACCTAAATCTTTCCTCCTTCAACTTGGATCCATTTCCCCTAGTCCTGCTGTTGTCAGCCCTTCTGAAGAGTTTACTCCCCTCCTGGCTGTAGGTTCCCTTCAGGTATTGATAGGCTGCAATGAGGTCGCCCCGCAGCCTTCTCTTCTCCAGGCTGAACAAGCCCAACTCCCTCAGCCTGTCCTCATAGGGGAGGTGCTCCAGCCCCCTGATCAGGCCAGGATTTCAGAAGGCATAAAGAGTTCTGGAACTCTGAAAGCTCTGCGAACAATACAGGCAGCTCAGAGTAATTTCAAGAACATATCACCAAGTGCTTCACAGAAATGAACACAAGACCAGATTTCCAAAACACTGAAACAAACGAGTGACCTAAATTTAAAAAAAAAAAATCATTAGCATACTTAAAACATCATTTAGCATTGTAGAAGTGTGTTGAAAGCAAGAAAACATATAAAAAATGGTAGGAACACTGTCCCACAGTTAATGTTGGTGCATAATCCAAACCCAGCACTCTGCACAGCCATGCTGATGCTGAAACAGGACAGGAGTGGCTGCCAACAAACCAGGTCATGCTGCAATGTGTTGACTTCACTGAAAAATGTCTCAAAGCTAAGTTGATCAAAGAGAATTAATTTGGAAGGAAATGAAAAACAGAAAACAACAGACATACAACTGCTTGATGTCCTATGATACTCCTTGTTTGTTTAATGCTTTTTTTAATGCTTAATCTGGGGTATGGGTTGGTGGAGAGGACTACTGAGATAACCCCAGTTTGACAAAGTGATAGTACAGTCACTAACAGGAGGTTACAGTCACTAACAGCTGAGGTGCAAAGAGCCACTCAGATTTGGTAAGAGAAGGGGAAGAAAAAACATGGTAGCAGCAATAGAACTGGTCTTCAACTGGTGTTAAATTGCCACAGCACTCAATTAAAAATAGAGTTCATAAAAATGTCAGGCTGGCTGATGATCCATCTGAAACTTCTAGCATCCAGCTGCCTACAGTGAGGTACGGATCATTAGAACAACCAAAACTACTGGGGAAAAAAAGAAAAAAAGACAGCCAAAGATTCTGGAGCTGCACACACCTAACACTCCCTTTTTTCACCAAAATGACCTCATCTTCATTGGAGATGAGGAAAACAAACAAATACCAATCAAACAAAAATACCAAAATTCCTCTACCTACTTTCTCTTTCCCTTCTTCAACCTTCTCAATCCCAGTTCACACCTCCCTGCACACCAATTCCCTGCACACTTCCTCCTTTACCTGTTTCCTTCCCACTGCTTTTGCCCCTTCTCTACTTCCTTCTATTTACATTACTATTCTTCCCTCAGATCCTACCTTCCTCCTCTCTTCTGCAATTCTTGCACATTTCCGTCCTTTCACAGAAGCACTTTCTTGTCAACTGCATTTCAGCCTCTACCTAAGCAAGTATACAAAAATATAAATACAAGTAGCATAATTTTCCTTCTTAAAAAACTGGAAGACAGGCAAAATTAACCTAATGCATGTTTTCAACACTGGCTTCCACCTTCAGCTCTAAGACTTGAACCTGGATGTTTAAATCTTAGACCACCATAAAACAAAACAAAATTGGTTTCCCTATCAATCTATGGCTTTTTCTAGAAAGCTTGTTTTGCAATTTTTAGTTTACACATTAAAGGTAAAGTAAATAATTTTTACCAACTAGTATATTCCAACAAAAAAATAGCCTCATCAGTGCATTTTTTTGTACCAACTGAATAATACTAGCATATTCGATATAAACTAACGTAGATAAAATGATGCAACTTACTAGCAGAAAGGAGCTAAATTAAAGTGCTTCTTCACAATTTTCAATACAAACCCTTTGAATAAAACCCAAACATGCACAGTTTGGGTTATGTGTAAACGACACCTATGTAACTAGGTGTTAATGAATCTCCAATTTGCTAACAAATTAAAATAATAAAAAAGTCTAATAAAGACTATTTTGGCCATTCCTTAGGGCTTTTCTCAGAGCCCTGTTTTGGTAAAGCATCCCACCATCGCTCTTGGTGCACAACAACCTCCAGCCAATAGTTTCTGGGGTTTTTTTGGCTGTGCTCATTATCCATGGCAGCTGTGTCAGTCCTCTTTCAATCAGCCAGGTGGTGGCTACAGAACAATTCTTATTGGAATGGAGAACTGCTGGCTGCCAGGTTGCGAAGGCAAAGCTATGGAGTGCAGTGGCACTATGGTTCTCTCTTCAACGACAGCAACAGCAGAGCGAGTACTGCCCACAGCAATCAATACCTGCCATACCTGCTATCAAATATTGATGCTACTGACAAATACAAAAATCATAAGAAAATTCTTTAAGACTCGATCACAATTTCCCTGACTGAAATAATACACACAGGTTCAATCACTGTGCGGAATGTGAATGATTCTGCAGTAAAAGTACATCAAGTAGAAAGCCCGCATCCTGAGTAAAGTTGATATCAGAAAGACTGAAATATCAACAAAAAGCTCAAAATATAAAAGCACTCCAGTAGAGCCTTTCCACTTCCCTGGAAATCTGGATCATCAATTTTCTAAAATGCTCAGAAGAATTAATAACATTATCCAGCTGCTGTTGTCATTTCAGAAGTAAGAAGCATCATTCCAAGGATCCAGACAGTAAGGCAAGGGCTGCTGTCAGAGCTGCTTTTTTCAGCACGGATGAAAGTTCCCTCTGTTTCTTGCCTGTGGGATTCTCATTACACTAGGATATGCTGCTTTTCCTCTGATGAGCAGCTTCTCTTTGCAGTAGATCCTCACTGTCACTTTCACTTTCACCGTTTCTCTGAAATAAAAAGGCCATGTTATTCCAGTCAATAAATGAGATACCATGCTGCTAAGTAGTCTGATATAATCAGTATCATTTATAGAGAAAAGCAGATGTACTAAAACCAGCAGAGTTTCATTGCAGGTTATGCTCACTGAAGGGTCCCCCATCACAGAGCTGGTCATGAGGGCTGTGCAGACTTTCTCCACACCTGCTCATTTCTCAGTTGGACAGGACAGTCACTGCTGTCATATCCAAATAACGTGCAGCCCCTATGCTGCCTTTATGTAAAATAAACATGGCTAGCACCTATAAGGTTTGCAGTCACTGTTTCTCCTTTCTCAGCATAACACAACTTACAGTAGCATTAACAGCACACAAAGGATGCCTGGTTTCCCACCCCAAACCACTGATGTCTTGCAAATTTCAATCCACAGTAAAATTGCATTTTCTTCCCCTTTGAAGAATGTACCTACCAAACATTCATCCTGAATTAGGGCCTTTTTCACCAGCGAACGAGATAAGTGGTTGCACAAGGAGACAATGCTGTAAGAAAGCTGTAAGTAAATAGAAGGAAGAATGAGAATATGAAAACAACAATACAGACACATCAAAATACATTTTGTTTGTCTAAGGCATCTTACAATCTTACATGTATAACCTTTGCCTTGCCTGCAGATACCCATCAGCCCAACACAAGCAGGATGAGAAGCTGCTTGCCATACCTTCCACCGCCTTCTGGCATACTGCCTTTTGAAGTTTTGCATGTTAACAACAGATTCTCGCCGTACCAAAGCTTGCTGCTTGTCCAGTGGCTGGAAGATAAGAGATGGCAATTTTATTGTGTGGCTCCCTTTGATACATGAAATGCTAAGATTCTCCTCACTCCTTAAAGCTGGCTGAAAATAATGTTGGGAAAGCTGTGGATTCGTACAGGTGTAAGCAGAAGAAAAAACTAAATCACTGATCCCACCCTGTCCACCCCTGTCCAGTCAAGGGATCTATAGCCTTGATTTCAAACAAAACCCTAAAACTTCACAGTCAGCAGTCTGCAGCTGCCCTGAGTGCTGTGCTCACTTCTAACCCCTCAGCCTGGCACAAAGGGTGCAGTGCAGGGCACAGGCTTTGCTTCAGCCTCCACTTCTGCCTGCTGCTTCATTACGATCCCCAGAAAAACAAGTAAAAAGCCTGGAACAGCCTTAGAAGCCCAAGGACAGAATGCATGACAGCGAAGCAGAAGAGGGAGATAACTACAATGACTGGAGGATGCTAAGGCAATGCTTTCACTTTGCAAAGCCACTGAAGCGCATCTCACTGCAACACCTTGATTTCTTCTGACTGGAGCTCACTTCTGCTAGCCTTTATTCGCATCATTCAGAAAGGCACTGGGAGAGCAATAAAAAGGCTCTACAAGGTGCCTAGTGGAAAGGAGGTGGAGCTACCATGAGCACAAGGACAGCACTGCTGCCCAGCGCTTTCTCAGGGGTGGTGGAACTAAACCCAGCACCACCACAGTGTTGTGTCCCATGCTGCTTTCAGAATTTTCACACTTGCCCCCTTACAAGAACACTGTCCAAAGATATATTAGGCCTTCTCCTAACGTCCAGTGTTGGATATTTCATTTTATTCTAGAGCCTCTTTCTCAGATGATGCTTGCCCTGAACCACGTCTCACTCTGGTGTCAAAAGATGGGGACTCACAGCCCACATCTGGGCAACATATTCCAGTGTCTCATTTCTCTTACTGTAAACAAATTTGTTTAATTTTTCAGTATTTACACAGAATTTCCTTATTTCAGTTTGTGCCCTTTGTCCTGTCACTGGATAGCGCCAGAGAAAGCCTGGCTCAGTCTCTTTTCTCTCTCCCACCAGGTATTTATGCAGATTGATAAGCACTCCCCAGGCCTCCTGCTGATACCAAACAATCCCAGCTCTCTGTCAGCTCCAATCCCTTCCATCAATCTCATTCCAAGATGTTTTGCTGAAAATATAAAAAGCTGAGCTGTCATTTACTATTAGTTACTAGTACACACACTCCAGCATATCTGAAGACATGCTAGTCTTTGTCCTTTTACCATCCTCAGAATATGAGAGCACAAGTCCCTGGCACCACAGCAGTAAATGCATGAGGAGAAAACTGCAATACCTGGTTACATGGCAAGGGGGAGGAGAAGAGGAGGAAAGCAATTAAAAATTCATACACACAAGAATTCAGATGTGTCCAATATTTTGGGATGTCACCCTGGTGTTAACAGATGTTCTGCAGATGCTAAAAATGAAGTATCTTTGAAATCCAAAACCACATCAATGTATGCACAGACCAGACAATTGTATTTGGGAATAACAAAAACAAAGTTCAGTACTAGATTCGGTAAAAGAAAAGAGGATGGAAGACAGCTCTTCAGCTGTTATGGAGCCTAGATAGTCACCACCATTTCAGCAGATCTGATTTGCTTACGTAGGGAGCAGACAATCCAGAAATACTTACACTGAACTGGGCTAGAATGCAATCAAGGCAGACAGCTGAAAGAGAAGGAGTGCCAAAGGAGAGTGGAAAAAGGACCACAGGATTTTCCAGCGAAGCAGTGTTCATGAGCCAACAAATTCACTTTTCTCCTCAGACACTATGGGTATAACATTTGTGCAAGTCACAGCCAAGTGATCAGCTAGGCTCCTTTCCCATTTAGATGTACACACCACTCCTGGGTGTCCCCCCACCACAGGGACACATAAGCACTGAGTGCATTTCCCCGTGCTGCAAATAGCTAACATGGTACAACAAAACCTTGTAGAATCAGTTTGAAGAGGAAAAACTGTCACAGTCTGAATGTCAGCTGTATATGAAAATTTCTGAGTGCCCTTTTGGTAGCAGAGCCATTGCCAAATCAAAATAGCTTGCTTCACACTGCTCCCAGCTGTTAATTACTATCTCCCAATTGCTAAGCAGCCTGCAAACAATGACCCTGTCATCTTCTCAATCATCAGAACACCTTCTCAAAAACAGTGTTATTTACCCCTTTCAGCCCAGAGAGCACTGACCTCAAGGACTGAGTCACAAAAATATTGACTTCACCCAAACACTTGGGAACAGAGTGGCCTCATTTCATGTTCCTTCTCGTCATGTCAGTGCATTGTTCCACAAGAAAATCTACACAGATCAGAGGATGTGAGATGACAGCTGAGGGAAGGCAGACAGACTCTCTTCACTGAGGGTCTTTTATGCAGATACTGACTCTCAGTAGTCTTTAAGTTACTTCTTAAGAGTTGAAACTCTCTCTTTAACAACAATAAAAAGTCTGATGTTCCAGTTTGTCTGGACAGCATCTCCTGCATCTTGTAGCTCCAAGGAGCCTGCAGAAATGATGACTGAAGCCTTCACAGCCAATCAAAAGCTGAGACAGTTAATATTTCCAATACTGCTTGGCACTCTGGAGTCCAAAAGTCCCTGCCAACAGCATCAGTATGTGAGGGACATCTCCTGGGTATCTAAAATTTTACCTCTTGTGCAAAGCAAGATGCCAGAGAGCACACTCCATCCTCCAACTATCATGACAGTGTCAACATCACCCCTGTTGAGCAACTGTTTCCAGGACCCTTCATTTCCACCAGCCTCTGTATGTCTTCACAGTGACAGTGACAGATCCACTGTGCCCTACACGAACTGGATCAAAGTATGCTTTTATCATTTTTATCTCAAAGTAGGAAACAATGTTATGAACAACGGTGGTTCAAATTCAGGAAGATCATTAAATTCTCCCCTTCTACTACATTTCGAGATCAACTCTGGATGGACCTGAACACGGATACAGGGAATCCTGGCTACTACCTCTGTCATTCCTGTATCTGTGTAACAGTTATCTTGAAGCAAATTCAAATAGCTAAGCAAAGAGGGCATAAAGCAGATGCCCAACAACTCTTCCCACTACAAAAAAAGCCTCACAGTTCCTTTTTTGCCACTGACTACATAATCAAGGAAGAACTGCCATCTGCATAAAGAACAATTTACTGGGTCTAAAAATGATTCAAAGTACATGTGAATATACAGTATAATCAATTGAAATCTTTGAAACACAAGTCAGGATTCAAGTCTGGGACAACCTTTCTCTTACTTTCTAAAACTTAAAAAAAGCCCAACAATTTCACACAAAGAACGTTAGTCCTCAATCCCACATGGCAAATTAAATTAGTTGTAGTTCTGCCTCATCTTTACTGCAGAAAGCAAATCAGACATGTATGTTACTGCTTGTCATCACTCACATTTTAATATTGGCACTGCAAAATGATATACACAGTAATTTGATCGTTACAAACTCGTAATTCTGTCTTTGGAGTAAGTTTCTTTGTTATGGGACAAGAAACTCCACTGAATTTTAAACCGAAGAATTAATCATTAGCTAACACTTGATGGTAGAAGATCCCAATCTGAATTACAGGCCTAAAAACTTCATCTTGAAAAGCCTGATTTTAACTGCTCTTCAGCAGCAGCCATTCTCACAGAGAATTTCCCCATACTAAACTGCTAACTTCATTTACTTCATGTTACAGCACAGATTTAATTTTTTTTGCAAATAATTGCAAATTCTTCTCCCATCTGCTCTGCAGAACTGCCCACAGCAGCTCTAGGTGACTATTTCTTTCATCCAAACGGACATGCTATCATTAATTCTTTATTGGTTTCTAGGCACCCAGCCCAGTAAATACAGACTGAACTCTCTTCTCTGCATTCATTACTTAGTGAACTTCAGGAACCGTAGCGTATGATAAGTATGACATAGGAAATGCAAAAGGATGCAGGTTAGCTGTGGTCCATGCTACAGTGATAACCCAGTTCCTGTAAGTTCAGACACCAAGCATGGGAAAGAACTTAAACACTACAAACTTAAGCGCTGGGAATTTATATTTGGGTTTTGGTCAGCAACTTGTGCAGCACATCAGAATTCCTGTTTCAGTCCTAGGTAATGTTTTTGTGTGTGGAGATTATGCACTGAAACGTTATTTTTTTTAACTGTTGTACATTGAGAGAGGCAGCAAAGCCTGCGTGTAACCTGATGTAGAACATTACTGATTTGATTCTGCTACATTGAGATTCAGCCCTGCAAGGAATTCTTCACAGCACGATCTGTTTAATAGATCTGTTAGGGATTCATTGATATCTTTGTTGAAAACAGAGTCAAAGTTTCCATTCATACAGGCTTCATTTCCATTTTCCAGTTGAAAATTACTCATCAAATCCTGTATCCACTTAAGATCCTCAGAAAGCTCTTGACTGAGAGATTCGTACTGACTCTGCAGAGCAGCATATTTCCCAGTTATGACTGTAAGACTGGCACCTACAGTCTTGATATCATCTTGTAGATGTCTTTTCAGGGATTCAGTTTTGCGGAATTCATACTTGAGCTGAGACAGCTTATGCCTCACGCTTTCATTTTCTTCTTTATACCAAGCTTCTTTTTCATTATAAATGGAAACCAGAGCATCAATGTCCTCCTGCAAAGAGTCGTGGGACGCAGCCAAAGCGCTGACCTCTCGTTCCATAAATGAAATGTCTTCTACTACCTGGGCAAAGCGCTCGAAGTTGATGTAGGTGTTATTAGGAGGCATACTTGAATGGCATTTTATGGTGTACTCTCTCAGTCGTTTTGTCTTGAGCTGTGTGTTCTCAGCCTTCTTGTTTTCTTCGACTTTTGTTTCTTCCTTCAGCTGGTGAGTCTTCAGATAGAGGAACCAACATTACTGGACATTTACAAGACAGTGCAGTAACTCAAACTCTACACAAAGGATGCAGCCTGAATTTCCAATCTGTGGGAGATTCTTTTCTCCCACAGATTTTCCTTCACACATTCAATTAAAAAAAAACAATAAAACAACAGGAGAAAACGAATGTAGTAAGCAATGTGCATTCATTCCAGTGTGGTAAGTTGAAGACCGGGGCCTCAGTTTCTTTTGTTGTTAATTTTTTAATCAGTCATTCTCAAAAATATCAATGGTTGTAAGAGGAAAAACAACAGTCCTGAAAAGAGTCCACTCAGTGCTTTTTGCAGTGCTGAGCAAAAATTGGATCACTGTGCATGCTGAGATTATCCAGAGGTATTTTCTATATTTATGCATCCACAAACACAAGCAACATTTATGATGAAAAAATCCACTCAGACACAAAAGTCAGCAAATCAACACATGTGGTACACACAGTTACATTCTGAGGTAAATTATATTTCCACACTGGCTGTGATCAACTCCCAGATCAAGAAAGCACTATATCTGAGATACAGTGCTTATCGTGCAAGCAAAGAAGGATGAAGAAATGCAAAGCACAGTCTAATGTAGGACACTGTACATGCAACAAACATCAAAGCTTTGTTCTCCTCTTTTTGAAAACCACGACAATAAAAAGTCATGATTAAGGTTCGCAGAAATCCCAAGATTCAGTCAGAACCCAACCAATTTCCTCCCAGTACATCTCCTCTTTCAGATGTCAATGGTCTCTAACTACACAGAGGTCAGATTTCCAATTAACACATCAATAAGAGTGAGAACATTATCTCTGCTCGGCCCACAGCAAAAAGCAGGATCTCCCTTTTTATTTGGTCTTACCGTTATCCATGGATGAGACAGAGCTTCTTGAATTGTAAGACGTTTCCTAAAAAAAAAAAACACAAAAAAAGAAACACAAAAAGTACAGATTTGAGAGAGAAATACCTTGCATACAAGCCCATTAGCCTTCTCTTTGCCCTTGTATAAGCAGTAAAGCATTTATCAAGATAACTTCAGGCCTAATACTGAAATTGGGGATTATGCTTTTCCACAAGGCATGCTGTTTGTGTGTTTGCCAGTAGGAAGTTGTCCCCATCCCAATTTTAATGCCTTCCTGTCTGAAATCTTTATTTTTGTGTACCCTCTTATAAGAAGTGATAAAAGATTATTCATCCTACAGGCTTAGAGAATAAATTATTTCTATATACCTTTAACATGACTGTGTCTGAATCATGGTATACAATGTTAATTATATCAAAAGTGTCTTCTAGAGTGCAACAGGACATCATTCCTGCCATGTCCTGAAAACAGAATTTGAGAGGAATACTTCAAATCTTATCCAACATAATTGATCCTAACTTCTTCCTGCAGTGTGCAGCTCAGTGAACAGCACCCTATCACCATTCAGAATCAAAGGCAGAACCACCACATTGCTCTATAACACATGACAAATATCAGTGTGTCTGACTTGTCTTTTTTATAAGGAGGTTGCTAGACCTGCACTAGCCTCTCATCAAACCCCACCAACTCTAACCTGTTCTAAGACTGCTGCAATTCCTTGGGGCTTGACCCAACAGTTTGCCTCTTTCTAATATCCTTCTTTTCTCCTATTGAAGCCACTAGAAAGAACTGCAACAGCCTGACTTTCCTCTGGGATGAACAGAGTTAAGGGGAAGGAGATGCTACTTCTATGTGCACTTTATTAAAAGAAACACTTTTAAAAGACTGTGGTTCCCAAGGACTGAGAATAAAACTCTGAATAGCTGTCATGCAAATCCTGGGTGATTGCAGTGGATGCATAGAGACATAAAGAACAATTCCAGTAGGAGCAGATGTAAAAACAAAATGTTCTTGGACCACAGGGAACGTTTTACAGGATTGTGTCATGTCCTTGCAGGCAGTTCACAGCAGATTGAAATACTGGAGTGGTAGTTACCTAGAACTAAAGATTTTGCATACCATTTTCAGCCCTTCACCAACACATTGTTGTAGCACTTTGACTTTGGAGAAAATGCAGTCATGAAATTGAAATTTAACAAAGGAGATTTCAGTTCCTTTTGTTAGAGTTTGTGGATGCTGTGATTCACTGTGGGCACAGCAGCAGAACTCTGCCTACCATCTTGCTCTTGAATGGCAACACACACTGCAGGGAAGGCTTTGCAGATTGCTCTGCAGGCTGTTTCACCAGATTTATCTAAAGCACCGATGAACGATTCTGAGTTTTCACTTACCGTGTGTCTTTCACCAGCAGTTTCCGAATAAAATCTTTTGCCAGGTCGCTGGTATTGCTGAAAAATTCTTCATCAAATTCATAATTCACAGCTGTGATGTTAGCGAGCGTTTCTTGTTTAGTTTCTCCAAGGAAAGGTGATGCACCACTAAGCCTAGATAAGCCATAAAAAAGAATCAATTGGAAATAGGTCCCCTATTTGTGGATCTCTGTATTGTAGCAGCCACAACACTTGGGAAATAACAGGTCCAGCATCTGTGGTTCTGAATCAGACTCATTCTGAAAGTCTCTAGGGCAGCACTGAGTGCTCAGATAGACATGCACAGATTCTCCCATTCTGAGTATCTCACTGAAGTCACAGTTTGTCAAAATAGGAAAAGCTTCAGCTGAGGAGAGCATCTGTGGCTGTGACTCCACAAACACTACCAGCCAGAAAGCTTCTGTCAGGTCAAGCAGATAAATTTGTATTTCCATTCATTTTCATCAGGTAGAAAAAAATCCTGCCTGCAATTTTCTGTCTGCAAAGTTACAGACAAGTTCCCTGTGCAGTAAGTGCAGCCAGGAGATGTTCCTCAGATGGCATCACAATACAGTGTGTGACCAGAAATCAGGGGAGGCCTTGCTAGAGGTCAGCCCTGCACGGAGGAATGGGCACACAGCTCATCAAAAGAAATTCGCTATGGAACTTCAGTTGAGATAGAATCCAACCATTTCTGATCAATGTAAGATTGCATTCTCTTGGCCCTTTCCTCCAACCGTATGGACATAATAGATGTATCATAATAAAACAGCATTCAGTAAGCTTTATTTAGACAGAAAAAGCTTTCATTTTCATTTGACTACTTCGCCTCTCTCAGCTGTGACTTGACAACTTTCACCTGTAATGACTATTTACCTTTTCTCCACAAAATTCAAATGTCAGAGCAGGCTCATTGCAGACTCTTCCTACCCTGCCCTCCACTCCCCTCAACATGAAGGGATGCAAGTCTGGTTTACAGGAAATGTTATTTATAATGAGGAAATTTATTTCATTCCTGTTTAAAGTTGTCTGGACTGTTATGCTCATCTCCTATGTCTAGTTTTGATAGCAAAGCTTCACGATGCAGCAGGCTCAAAATAGGATCGCAGCAAACTCCTGTGATCTAAAGTGAGTGTTTGAATAGAAAACTGCTATACAGATCTTTTATTTTGTCTTTACTTTCACTATCAATTTGACTGAGGATTCAGAGGTAAGCAGAAGAAGACATATGACCACGTGTGTCATTCAGCCCAGTCCCCAGCTACCACAGCTTCACTCACAGAATAAGCATTTGAGCACAGAAAGTTTTCTCTTCTGCTTTAATCATATAATGACACTGACGTTGCTGACACAGTAAGGCAACACAAATGAAGTTCTCCAGCTGTTTTTGATGCCGTAAAGTCTGCCCCATAGGCACAATGAATCTCATTTCTTAACAGGTTCTCCACCCTCCCGCTGTTGCTCTGTTTTGGTTAGTCAAAAAGAAGGTGACAAGAAGACAGCTTTCATAAACCACAGGAAACTTATGAAAGAAGCAGTTCCACAAATTGTCAAGCTCCATCTTAAAACTATCTCAACTGCTTGTTTCCAGTATGTCAATAGAATCTCACTTATTAGAGTTTACATGCTTTTCTCATGAGCATTTTTTTCTTGTGCTTACTAACTGTGGAGATGTTCCCAGCCAGCCTTTGCCTCTCTATCTTTAAGAAGCCCTTTTTAATGCTGCAAGATGAGTTCTCTGCTTCCTGGATCAACCATCTCTGCTCCTGTTTCAGCTTAAATTCTTCTTTTTTAATATGGGTGACCATATTTATATAAACTAAACTGCTACCCTTACAAGCAGTTTCAAACTCCTCTGTTTTCACCAGAAATAACTCTGCTTGTAAATGCTGCTGTGAGATACTTTATGTATCTATTCTCTCCACACTGGTAGCTCAACTATTCTACGCCCAACCAACATGCTTGGGCTTTTCTATCCTCTATCACACTGTACTGATGAGATCTCATAGGAAGCTGAAATGCCCAACATCTTCAGAGCCATTTGTTCTTCATCTGGTCATAATGGCCCTCTCAATTTTTTTAATGGCTTATTTTAAAATTTGAAAAAGCTGAGGAATAAGTTTTTCCTTTAGAGGATGTGCGTGCAGCTCCTTTCTTGCTTGATTGGAGGAAAAGCTGCTCTGTAGCAGCGCATTAGAGCTTTAGGAACACTCATATACTAATGAATGTATGGTTTGTACTCACAGTATGTAGGTGATGACTCCTATGCTCCTGAAAAACAAAGGAGATTAATTGCAAAGCTTCTGCACTATCTATATTCTTTTCAACATATACAATACAGAAATGGTTACAGTATTGCAATACGGGCAGGAAAGCTCTCATTGTTTCAGATAACAGTTGTTATCTAAAGCTAGTTTCAATGAAAATGTCAATTTTACACCAATACTCATATTTTGTGGATATTTGAAATCATTTATTTCTATGCTGGGAGATATTTACCACAGTACCTACCAGAAATACACAGAAACAGTAGGAAGGGTATTTTATTTGGGGTGACTTCTTTTGGCTGCATTCTCAGCAGACCAGATTAGTACGCAGGTCTCCTCTGCATGCAGTGCTCTTATAAATAAAGCTGTCACAGGCACTGCAGGAACATGTTTTCTTTTGAGACTGCTCCTCCGCAGTGGACAGTGGCAAAATATTAACTCTGTAATGGCCATTATTCAAGTTTTTCACTGTAATTTTGAAGAAGTTAACCACTTCTTTTACCTTTTCAGTAAAAGTAATCAGTAAAAAATGGAATGACAGAACAAAGAATATGCAATCATCAGACTTAAGTTTGTTTTGAGATTCCCTTCAGAGAACAGTGGGAAAAATTGTCAGGAGAGCAACCTGGAAAAGAAGTTAGAAGCTTACCACATATCTGCAGCCAGCCCCAGTGGTTCATAGTTCACTATTTCTGGAGCTATAGAAGATATTAGGAAAAAAAAAAAAAAGAAAGTGGATGGGAACAGAAAAAGACCAAAAAACAGACAAGTGTTATCCATGAGAAATCGTATTATAAGAAAAAATTTCTTATTGCAAAGCATCCCAATGTAAGACAGCATGCAAGGGAAAAGACCAAGGTAAGATACTGAGACAAAAAAAAGGTGTCTCTAGCAGCACTGAAATCATCTCAGGTCGTGGAACAGACGTGCTTAAATGGAACATGAATTACAATTCTCTTCCCCACCACAACCCCCAAAACTCAAAATGAAACAAATAGGAAGTAGAGAGACAAATTAGAATGATGATCAGTAAGCAATAACAATAAAATCAAGTGGAAAAATGGAGGGGAGAAATAATGGGAGGCAGTTTGACTAGAAAGAAATAAAAGAGAAACCTGTGCAATTGTGCAGCAACGCACACAGATTACTTGACCCAGGCAACAGGGAGAAAATTATAGAAAATTATAACTTGTATTGCAGTGTTTCACAACCTCAGCCTTGAATTTGTGTCTCTAAACATTTATTTGGCAACAACTGACTCCCACAACAGTAGCCCATCAGGCATACAGAAAGCCTAATGCAGAAAAATATAGCAGATTTCCAGATTTAGGTCACCTTGATACAAACTGGTCACTCACCTACGAATTCTGGAGTTCCAAAAATGTTTTTAAATTCAACTCCATCTTCTATTTTGTGAGCCAGGCCAAAATCAATGAGTTTGATGTGTGGAATAGGGATATTCTTGTCAAGAAGCATAATGTTTTCAGGCTAAAAATGACAAAAGATAGATATTTGTTGTTATATTATCTTAGAAAATAACAGATCTACACCTCCAGTTCTCAAATTTTTTCCTTCCCACATACAACACTGTAGAACAAGAAACACGTGTCCTTTCTTAATCATACACAATTCATTCTTTTGGTAAAGGGATGACATCTCATAACGTTTGACATCAAATGAACAGATCAGAATTTTGCAACAGGAAAACAAAACTGATAATACAATACAAATAAAAATAATAAAATAATACATTCTTCCTCTTGCAGTCTTTATTCTCACCTCAAGCAAAATCTTTCTATCTTCACATTAAGCCCATCTTAATGATGACTGTTGCCAGGATAGAAGCAACATATCCTTGTTTCCACACTACTGTATTTAGTTCCCTAATCTGATAAGATATATAACGATACTATTATCCCAGCAGCATTGTGATGTAACATCAAGTGGCTCTGTGGTGCATCTTGTCCTCTGTTAAATCAGAAAATACTTCCTCGTCCTGAAAGGCCTCCTAGGAAGATGCCAGGCCCTGATGCCATGGATTTGCCACTGTTCTAACATCAGTGGCTACTTAACAGCTAGAGGGCAGCTGAAGCAGTGCAACTACCTAGTACAAAGACAGCATGCACTTGCTCAATCCTGAAGGAGAGCTACACAACTGAGTATTTTGCTGAACTGCTCTTGGAATGTACACTGAGAAATCCCATTATTTCTGCTCAGCTGTAACTAATGTACCATAACCTGCTGGACAATGTCTTAGTATACGGCTCTTAACACATCTGAACCTACTTAGGGAAGGTAAATAATCTTTTTTCTGGAACTAAATTCACACCTGCAACAAGACGACCCAGAAAGATCTACAGGATTTGCTGCCTGAATAATCCTTAAAATGGAAAATGTAGTGATGAGTGGTCCTATATCATGTATGACAACAAGCTATTAAAAGAACATGCAGCATTTCCTACAGATTCACAGGGCAAGGCCCTGAGCCAAAGCTAGAATAACTTTGATATTAGACCTATCTTTACCTCTGTCATAGACTCCTTACTCTTTGCCAAATGCAATGGATATTTCTTTTCTTTTTTTTTTTCTTTTTTTCCGATTATGTTTCTCAGCATTCGTTGCTCCTTGTACTTATTTCACAGGTTTCAGAATAAACTGCAGATTCAATTATCTCTGATGAAGAGCTTCATTGCATTAATTTTTCATAACTTAATCATAAGCTCAAGAGCAATGGTGAGACAATCTGATTCACTGCTGGCAGCTGCCTGGCCTTTTCAAAGCAGATCCTAAGGTGGAAGTGTCTCCTGCTAACACACACACTCACTCAGAGCTGTACTGGGAAAGAAAGCATATGAATAATTTATTGTCATAGCCTATTTTAGCCTCTAGCTAACAAGTCTGGTTTTCTTCCATGGATCTAGGGCGTACGTGTTCCCTGCAGATACATGATGTAAGTTTGTTTGGAGCACGCAGAACAGCCACAGCCCTGCACTGTTTTATTCCTTAAGGTGTGTAAGACACTGCAGCTCCACTGAAATTGATGCAGCCTTGATCAGTGATGAGATAAATATCAATTTTCTTCCATCTGATCAGATCACTGCTTAAAAAAATATATGCCTAATTTAACACTAGTAAAACCCCAGGAAACAGTCCTATTAAATCCAATAGACTTAATCTGTGAATTTGTTTCAGATAACTTGATATCCTCCATCAGTGAAATGATTCCCCAGTTATCTTTTCTCATTTCTATTCTGCTTTTTTTCTGTAACACTGCCACTGACCACCTGACGTCACTAACATTACATCCCAAAAAAGGTACAGTCATCAAAAATGAACAGTAACAGTAACTAAATCAGCCTCTTCACCTTTAAATCAAAGTGAGCAATTTTCTTAGAGTGGAGGTAATTCACACCATCCAAAATCTGCTTGATGAATCTGGTTGCTTCCTCCTCACTCAAAGATTCCTTCTGTGCCAGGAAGTCAAAAAGTTCTCCTCCAGACACCCTGCAAAACACACCAGGAAACTTCCCGTTATCAACTGCGCTCTAGGACATAAAGTAAACGTAATCAAAGAAAACTGAAGCAGCTGAACACTTCCATATAGTTAGTAAAGGCCACCTTCACCGACAATCTGGAGCTCTGTGCTCTGGCCTAAGGTGCCAAAACTGCTTTTAGCTCCCTCCCCTCCAAAGGAAGGATTATCTTTCCCTAATGCATTGATGCTGCAAGGTTTGATTCATCAAGAGTTATGAAGGTCCAAAAAGAGGTGCGCTGTCTGATAAACCTACAGACATGTTGTAACAGGAAGGCTTCGATGTTAACTATTCCAACTGCAGTTTTCCAACATTTTCACTTTGGACAAGACACGGGAAACAGAGAAAACTGCAATAGCCAGCAACTGCTGAATAGTTGCTTACCAGCTGCCACCAGTAACATGAAGCAATGAAATCGGGCAGCAAACTTTTGTCTTCTTTCCAGAACAGCCATTACAGTGGCTGTAGAACCAATACAAATTCTTGCCTGACATACACTGACAGGAAAGCATTCGTTTTGTGCTAATAAGCAAGCAGATTGCAGCAGCCTGGAAGGTACCCAAAATTGTTGTTTCCAACCAAGGGAATGTTACAAGTTAATATGAGTCCTCAAAAATGAAATTCCATATGTATTTAGTACACACAACTATTTCTTTTGTCTCATATTGAGAGCCCTCAGTGCTACTTTTTCCATACATCACGAAAGAGGATTATCTTAGTAATGAATTGTGCACTGTTTGCAGTTGTTATTCACATTTACACTTACATTTCTTGCCCTCAGTTCACACTCATTGATAATCTGTCATAATCCAATTTTTCTCCTGGCAGTTATTTCTCAAAATGGTTGTTTCCTCTTGGACTGAGATGTACCACTTACCTGCGCTCACCACTCCAAGCTCAAGAGCAAGACTTGAATAACCCAACAGTAAATCAGGAAAATAGATTTTCGGCCCTGTTGTCTAATGAGATAGCAGTAAAAGAACTCGCAGGTTCAAGTGCTTTGAGTTAACTGAGTGCTGTGACTCACAGGCAAGTCAGATCACACTGCCTGTGCACTGCAGAGGTCTTATAGGCAATCCATCATTCCTCTGACCCCAGGCTCCTTTCTAACACTGGTGGTCACAGACGATGATTCCCTACTCTGCCTCATTCCAAGCAAACTACTGTGAACGGTCATAAAAATTGCAAGAAGTCAATTGCAAACAAGAACCCCATGTCAAATGCCAGTTTTTGGCTCATTTCTTAGCTCTCACTGATGCTGTGGGTGACAGCATATGACACCATTCTGTTCTGAAGGCACTGATTCACACAGTGCCTAATGACCTGCCTGCCAGTTATGGGACATTTTTCCACAGTTTCCACATTGGCAGGAAACTTTCTATGCAACATGAGGCAGGACATTTCACCTGCAGAAGTCCCTTGGTCTGTAATCGTTGCTGCTAAGTGGCAAACAAAAATGAAGGACTCACGAATATGGTGCAATAGCTGCTCCAAAAGTAATGCCTCCTGTTTTATTATATTGGCCCATAACATCAGAGGTGGATGTTGGTAGCATGGCAGTAGAATTTAGACCTTCTCCCAAATATTCCAGGATTACTTCCAGAGTGATCTACATACTTACTCAAACCTCATATTAATGAGATATCATCACATCTCTTCTACTGAGTTTTCCTTTAGATTGGTCTCTTAAGATCTCTGCAGCTCAGGCTAAGTCTTAGACTTTACTACAAGACACTGGAGATATTCAGAAAACAAAATGCTCATGTTTGTTTTAAGGAATAACCTTCTGCTGGTAAAGCAGCAATGGGAATTCAGACACTCTGAATCTTTTTAATTTTCCTTATTTTTTTTCCTGTAGTGCTTTGTACCTTGAAAGTTCCCTCTGCTAAATTTTCTGGCATTCCTTTGTACATATATTCCCTGACATCCTCAGTACTGTCCTCTGTGCCAAGGGGATGCGAAGGGAATGCCTTTCATAAAGTGCCATGGGATCTGTGCTCTCCTTAAGCAGTATCTTCTTTTGCAAGTGCTGGTGGAGAGAAGGCTGAGCTGAAACCTTGTCAGGCCCTTTCAGACAGAACTTATTACTAATTCTCATTAAAAAGCCCGCCACGAGAAGCTTCTGCAGCGCAAAGGGAGAGAGAGTAGAGTGCCTGCATGGTTACATTCCAGAAGGGTAGCAGAAAGTATCCCAGTGCAGCTGGCTTCCTGCTGGCAGGGCCAGACTGCTGCAGGAGGTGACCGCTGGTGTGTACTTTGAATAGAAATAATTAAGGAAATGAGACTTGCCTGCTCTTTGTACACAGATTTCAGCAGAGACTAGCAGATCTCACTTACAGATTCTTTTAATAACTTGTCGCAGCTGCAATCATTTTTTTAGCTACCTAACCCTACTACCACTTGGAATGCAGACAATGTTCTCTGGCTCCTGAGTACAGAGAAGTACAGTACTCTGGCACAGAGTAAAACAAAAGCAGTAAAAAACTCATAGCTCCACTGCAGGTCACGTTTGAACATCCAGACAAGTGTGTTTTCCAAATCAACACCACAAATGAAAGAGGGAGTGCTCCCTTCTTAGGGGACTTCATCTTACAAAAAATCCCTTCTTCCAGTCTCATCTCTTATCACGTCACCTTTCTTTCCAAAGAAGCAAGTGGACGACACTTTGCTCTTCCTGCAAAGTCCAATAAATGATAAAGCTGCCTTATTTCTTGGGAACGCTTACTAGTAGAGGAGTCTGGTGTATGAATCAGGGCTGCCTTTAAGCCAATTTCGTTTTGGCAAAGCAGCTCAAGGCAGAAACCAGGCGACAGAGAACAGCAGCAAGGTCACCGAAAGCTGTGGGGAGCGTAACCCTGGGCAGCGTGCACGTGGAAGGGCAAACTCTGGGCCTGCCTGGGTGCACATTACAGCAGTGAACTAGGCAGTGCTCTTTCTGAACAAAACAAACAGCATCTGTAGAATCTGTCCCCACATAAAGGAAAGATACCACTGTCAGTGCCAGCACAATCTGATTTGGAGAGGGTGTCAACATTTAAGCCAAAGCAGCTTCCTCAATTAATAAGAACACTGGGAATATTCTTTTGAAGCTAAAGTCCATTGCAGCTTGTCATAAAATTAACTGGCCATGTGCTGAAAAAGCTTATCTGAATAAACTGCAGTGAGTATGAGACTGATAACAGTGTGTGAGGAGTAGAAATCATCTGCTTACAGAGAGAATCTATGTAGCTTTATTAGCAATTATCATCATCATCCTCAATTTGTGTGCAGTAGCAGAATGCAGTGGCCTTAATAAGTTCAAAGTACTGTTACACTCAGCCCTCTAAAAATGAAATGATGTGGCTTTAGATGTGGCTCTGGGCAGTCTGGTCTGGTGGTTGGCAGCCCTGCATATAGCAGAGGGGTTGAAACTAGCTGACCATTGTGGTCCTTTTCAACCCAGGCCATTCCACGATTCTATGATTCTATGAAATAAGCTACTGCCTGACAAGAATACATACAAAATGTACAAGGCCATGTGAGGACAGGAAGAAGTAGAAGATAATGAAATGGGAGGTGGCTTAGTAGCTGACAATCAAAGAGAGCAAGCTTCTTTCCTGTCTTCTAAAGCAGACTTGTAGTTACAGAGACTAACATTTGGCCATACACATACTTAACAGATGCTCACCACCACTCACATGCCATCTGCCAGCAGTCACATCAATCTCCAGGCACGCTCCCTGGCCTGAGTGCTGACACTCTTGGAAGACTAGTGGTTATTCATACAGCCTGGTTGTCTGGATTCCATGCACAAGGCCAGAGCAGGTGCTCTGGGGAACAAACAATCTGCATAATGTCAGTTATGGCGTTCCTATAATTCCTGCTTCATACACAAACTGCATAATTTACTAAGTACCTAAAAACTGCTGTAAGTAGAAGACCTCTGGGTTCCTCCTTGTTTACTACAGCTTTAGTTCAGTGCCATGAATTTACAGACAAAGGGTGTGTCACCTTCTGCACAGCTCCTCTAAAACTCAGGGATCTGTACATTAGGTGATATCAACTCCACTAAAGAACAAAATATAGATCAAAAATGCAGTAATTGCTGTTTTCCTTTTTTTCACTTCATGGCAAATATTCATCCTGCTGGCCAAAATCATACTCCCTGAGCAGCAAAGCTCTGTTTATTACAATAGCCACTTCCATTGCTGGCTATGATGAGTATGTGCATACAGTTCTGGTCCCTGGTTTGTGTGACAGTGTTCAGCTTTCTCCTTAGAACTTTGTGTGTTGGCTGTTCTATCTCTACAAAAGAAACTCTTCATTCTTTGGCAATTAGTCCCTTTTCTGAAAAGCTCTACTTCAGCTTCACCACTGTAAGTTGAGGTGACATAGAGAAAGCGATCGTGTAAACTCTACCCCAGCCCCTTAAGATTAACATCCCTGCATGTAATCCCCAACACGTAATGTCTCTGAAGCACTGTTAAAAATTATGTGACTGCTTCTCAAAATATGGCCAGGCCTGTCTGTCCAAGCCAAGGACTTTGAATCTCAAATCGGGCAGCAGAAACAGGCAGGACATATGTAAAACAAGTAAGATTATAAAACCTTACATTATTAGGCTGTGCTCTGCATCACTCTAAAATGTTTCATCTCAGTTGCCATCTCTGAACACATGGGAAGGACAGCAGAATGTAAGAAAGAGATATTATCTTTGGGATGCAGTATTTCTAGGCTGATGAAACAAACAGCAAAAAGAATTCACACAGGGAATTCCACAGCTATTGTAGAGACCAACAATTCTGATACTACTTCAGATCCTAATCATCTGGCATTTCTCTGCATTGTGAACATGTACTAGCCAGGTTTTCTCACTTCCTTACAGCCAGTGAGAGTATGTATAGACAAAAGGACCAAAGGTGACTCCTTTAAATGCAAACTCACATCACATCCCAGCCAAGCAAAGGCTCCTTCACCAAGTCCATGTAAAAATGATGCCTGACCACATCTCCAGCTTCCCTGGGATGGGCATCTATTCTTACAGGCAGGGACGTGCACAGGTCCTACAGAAAAAGCCACTGTTCTCTCAGCCCAGACAGAGAGGCTGCTGCTAGCTGCTTCTGAATCTCATCTTAAACAGCACAGAGCTATGTTTCACAGCCAAATATGCATAATAATCATCCCAAACCAGCAGCCTGGCCATCCAGTGGGCCACAAAGCAAGAATGAGGCTATAATGGCCCACAGAAGTCCAGGTCAGGAGGTACACTTGTCAGCAAGTCCTAGAAGGCAAGAGTTTTTCCCCATCACATTGCAAGAGAAGTTCTTCATTCCCACCCTTCTGCTATTCACTCTGAATAAGAAACGTTTGGGGATCCCCAAAATTCTTCCCCTCCCTTTTTTCTCCTTGTCACTTCCAAGTGTCCAAGTGAAGAAAATGTGGATTTAGTAGAACAGCTGAAAATATTGCAAGATTTTTGTGCACTGAAAAGGAAGACTGCAGGAAGTGCAAAAAAAAAAAAAAAAGAAAGGAGAGTTCAGTGGCCGTTTGTGGTTCCTTAAAGGCTCATGTCAGGGCAGCTCCACGCACTCTGTTGGCAAACTCTTTTTCTTTTTCTTTTTCTTTTTCTTTTTCTTTTTCTTTTCTTTTTTTTTTTCTTTTTTTTTTTTGAAGCTGACAACAGAACCTGGCTCATTAGCAATGGCCTCGGGTGATTTAAGGTGCACCTATGCCCCCAGGACACATGAATTGACCATGGGGCTGTTCATGAGCATCCTCATCCAGCTCTCCCACCAAGACCTGCGAGGCCCGAAAAGACAACAGCTCCATTTTAGCAGTACCCCTGTGCTCTGGCAGCCTCATCCAGCCCCAGAGGAAAGCAAGTCCCTTACTCACAGCTCAAGGATGAGAATCACATCCGTCTTGTTCTCGTAGATGTCGTGAAGCTTGATGATGTTGGCATGCAGGGTCTGCTGCAGAATGTCCACCTCCCGTTCTATTTCCTCACGCCTCACCCCTCGACGGCTGGCCCGACTCTGACGCTTTTTAATGAACTTAGCAGCGTACTCCAAACCGGTGCTTATTTCTCTACATTTCTTCACAATAGCAAATTGGCCACTGCAAGAACAACAAGATAATAGTCTCTTAAAGCTTTCATACAAACCTCTGGTAATATGCAACAGCTTCCTGAATATGCAAAGCTTGATCCTATGGCCCCTCTGAGATACACTGTTGAAATCACACAAACTCGTTCATGTTTCAGTGATTAAGTTATGGCTCATGTTCAAATTCTCCTTTGCTGGATAATACTGAAGGCATTCTAGCCTGCAACACAGCACTGGGTGTTCTGAAAAGACATGAGTGCACTGAAGTACTTCCTTTTAGAATAATCTCTCTGAAAAGAATGTAAGGGATTGATGAGCCTTTGAAAATGCAGAATTGGGCCCAAGAAATCAGTTTTCAAAGAAAAGAATAGTTTATTCATGTTTCTATACTTCACTTGATAGTTTGGCTTTAAATTTAACTAGAACAAGTACAGGTATCTCACTGCACTTCAAGGACAGAGAATTTCCCATCATATTAAACAGAAAGCAGTTGTGTTAAAGATTAAAAAAAAAAACCCAAACACGTATCTGCCATTTGTTAATAACATTTTCCTGACTTTGTCTCCTAAAGTACAATATTTCACTTCAACTGCAATATTTCCCTTCTGTGTCCTGAAAGGGAAACACCTGGAGGTCAAATGACAAACTCCAACAATAGTAACCCTGCAGGTTGCAGCCTTATGTCAGTGATGTGAGCTTCTCAAGAGAGGCAATTGTTACCAACTCTTCAATAGTAAATGGGGGAATCCACTTTGCTCTCATTTCCATGAACTAGTCTCCCTTCATTGTGCCCTTGAGTGCACTGATGGAACTCAGAGAAGCAAAGCTTCCACAAAGCTGATGTTCCCTCCTTCTTGTTTGTCCTTCTGAAAGTAACTGTAATCAAGCCAAGACATGTCATCTCAAAATTAAGAAAGACAGGAGCTTTGTAGCTAAAGATTAAAATGATACCAGGTCTGTGCAAGACAAGAGTTTGGCAGGAAACAGTGACTGTTCAGAGGGTCCTTCTTGCTCATCCATTTGGAGTCAATAACTTCTAGACAAGGACAATTGTGCTGCATCTGAGGAATGTTTAGATGTTAAGAACTTTACAGCCATACGAACAATGAAAAAAATCATAAGCTACTAACTTGCGTTTGCAGTTAGTTGAACCAGGACATGTAAGAGAGCCACTTCAACTTTAAAAGATGGTCTGTAGCTAAAGTAATGGAGGAATTTTGCAGATCTGATTTCTGCCATGAATGCACTGCATATATTCCTTAGCAACTCACTTCCATCCCATCAACAACAGAGGAAATGGCTTTCCTTTCTAACACACTACATGCCTAAGGGTTCTTGTACACCACTTAAAGCATAAAGGTGCCAGTGTTACTTTGCTGTTACAGTAACAGACATAGTAGGATTGCTAGTTCTGGACCACGCAGTGTAACAGGCTCTTGTCCCAGCTGATTCTGGAAAGCGGACAAAAATCTCATTTAAAACAGTGATGTGTTTCTTCTTGCGATGGCTCATTTGTAGACTTAAATTAAGCACATCTTTTTATGCTTCATTTAAATTTATGAGACTGAAATTATGCAAAGAGCAGTGCATGTACAGATTCAAATATCTACTGGCTCCTTAGGCTGCTTAATGAAGATATTAAAATACTCATCAGTCTGAAACTATGTGAAACTTCTACAGCTTAAGGTTTCATCACAATCTCTAAATATCAAGTAGTCCTTATTAAAATCAAGATAAATATTTTCCATTATTTTCCATATTCATGCTAAACTGCCTCATCTGGAGACACAAACTCTCCAATTCTTAAGTTTTTCTTAGATCTTAAAAAAACTAAACTCAAAAACTGACATATTTTAAGGAAAAAAAAAAACAAAAACAAAAAAAACAACCAACAACCAAGCTTCCAGCTCAAGTAACAAAAAGAATTAAGAATATCTGGTCTCGACATCAGCTTCAGTCAGTTGAAACAAATGAAGTCAGCTCCTCCACTGGGGATGAGCTTCATTCACTTACTGCTCTCTCTGCTCAATAGGAAGCCCAGCATTTTCATTGGCACAGTGAATTCAATTAACTAAATGAACTACACTCATTTTTAAACAGTTGTGACAAGTTTCTATCGAGCCTTCTTGACACCTTCTAAGGTACTTCAGGATTATTCATTACTCTGCCTTTTCACAACCACCAATTCAGGAGCACAGACCTGGACAGAATGATGTATAAAGTAAATAAAAAAAAAAACAGGTGGTTAAATTGGAGCAGCTGGAAAACAAGGAGCCAGTGGGGAAGTGTTATAATGGTGAGCTGTCAAGGAAAATTACTCTAATAGCAGTGCTTGTTGACTGCATTTGGTAAGTCTGATGGCAAGCTGACAGGACAAGTCTTGTAGCAGAATCTCTGCAATACAACCTACAAGAGTCTGAATGGAAGGAGAAGTTGTCCACCTCTTCCATTTGGATCCCAGTTAAATAACCCCACAGCCCGTCTGCATATATCTGTGATTTCAAGCAGCCAGAAGAATTTACAACTGACCTGAGGATTGCAGAAAACCTAAGCTGAAAGTTTGTTCTTCTTATTTATTTTTCCATTAGTGAAACTTCCTTTTGATGTTGGGAAAGGAAAAGAACACTGTATCCACTTTGCACAAGGCCATGACTGTAATGTTAGAAACTTTACTGTGGTGGTAACACACCAAATATCTTGCAGACTGAGCATATGCTTTGCTTAACTGTAAAATACAACATGTGATAACAGAGGTGAAAAACAAGCAAGTGATGACAGAACAGGACTTCAGTTATATAAGCTTTTGATAAAACTGCTGCTTCATGTACGTTATATTTTATTTTGGCAACAGGAAAGGGGCAGGAGGAAGAGCCAGTTGGCCAATACCTGCAGAATCAAATCATTTGAAGGTAAGGAACCCCACTAAAAACCTTTGCCATGCTCACAATAACTAGAGTAAAAACTAAGGAAATGTCAAGTCTGCCACCTCGTACCCTACCAAAAATTCCTTAGTCAGAAAAGGCTCGGGCTTTATCAATTAATATTTGATAGATTCAGACTTTTACTAAAAACATGCAAAATACATCTTCATTTTTCCACTATGGCACAGAAATGCATTTCCAAATTGTAGGAGGAAATAGAACACTTCTTATGTTGCTATAGGAAGCCATGGTCTCTTAATGAGGAAGCCAAATAGCTACCCTTGCCTGGAACATATAAAGCATTATAGGTGTGCAAGGTCCTTCCACCAAAAGAGCCATCTGAGCTCTGCCCTCATCTACTCACATTTACAAGAAGTCTCTGCTGATGGCCAACCACTTTTCAAGCAGAAAAATAAGGCAGTGAGCTCCTCATCATATCCACCTGCAGCTCCGTTCTCTCCTGCCACAATACACTGCACCTATCTCTGATAAGACTATAATTGGTACACCTCCAGTCCCCGAATATAAGCATATTTTTAGTCAGGGCATTATATCCAGGCCTGCAAGGACAAGCTTTATCTTACAGATAATCTTCACTTTTTGCTACAGCAATTTTTATCAGCCAAGATTTTTTGGTAACAATCAAATACACTCCCTAAGTGCAACCTCCCACAGCTACACTGCAGAAGTACTGAGCTCTTATTGGTTTCAATATGATTACATCCCTCACTACCTTGGCAAACAAAAGATGCGAGTACAGTTGGAACTCAAATTATGCAGCACACACAGCAATTACACTCAGAAACCTTATAATTACACAATGCACTTAGTACTTCATTAACACAGACAGCTGGTTGGAGTCTGTCTTCAACCCACAGAATAAAAAAAATTTAAAATTAAAGCTGTCACTTGGCCCTCACTTGTTCTCGAAAGCCAGCACTCCATGGCAGAAGCAGCCTCCTCTTTCCGAGAGCTCAAACAGTGACAGACAGCCTGAAGTACTTCTTTCTGGTTTTCATTTTCAGGCATATACTAAACACTTCTCAGGAGAGAGGTGGAAACATATGGGACAAGTGTACTTATCCCCCTAGGATTCAAACACAAGTGGAATCAACACTGCTGCATTTGTCAAATTCATTAATTAATATTTATGCTTCCTGATTTTGCTATTAGATGTAAACTCTAGAGAGCTTATGAGAACGAAATTCCTGCTACAAAATAAATCAGACTTAAACATTACCCTAAAAGGAGATCAATCTGTAGCTCTGAAAGCTATTTATGTAAAACATCATGAGTTTCATGTTGGTTGCTGTTTGTTTTACAAGACACACACCCCAACTGGTCCAGGCTTTCTAAAGAGACATAGTACAGGTACTGCTGAACTGACTTCCTCAACCAACTCTGCCAGCAAGCTCATGGAACAATATTACTTTATGACTGCTGATTATGGGAGTATATAGAGCTGCTTTTGCTTTTAAAAAGCCCAACGATGCTGTAGGTTTCATACATTTATGTTTACCTAAAAGCTTACGAAAGTAATAGTGACACAGGATAGGAATTCTCATTTTCACCTTCAACATACATAACCTGGAGCAGCTGTTCATCACACCACTGCTTCCTTTGTAATCTGCAATTCCCCCTTGGTGCCACAAGCACACACTGCCTCCTCCTGCCCCAATCTTTGTGCCATTGCCTCTATTTCTGAACAGCAGGCTTTTTACTGCACCATTTTGTGACCAAGTAGATGTTATAAACCACAAGGAAAAAGAAAGATAAACGGACAATTGCTGAGTTTAGGATATCTAAGGCTGTTACCATGCAATTAAGCACCAAGCAGACCCTACTCTCTATTTATTGCACAGCCATTTGCTCCGTCCACGATCACATCTGAATTCCCAGGGCCTTTATTAAAAGCATCAAGGAGAATGCTATTTCCAGACCACCACAAAGCAGCAGCTGCTTTATCCTTCCACATAAGTAGCCCAGTGCTTTGATACATTATGGTATACTAAGAGAAGAGCTGAAGGCTGGAGAAGGGACAAAGAGGGAGAAAAAGGTTTTAAACAAATGTTATAGGGGCAGCACATTGCTC